AACCAGCACAAGCTTTTGTGTAGACAATCCCAAAACTGATCCATCAGCAAGCGCTCCAGGGAAAACTGGATGGCTTTGAGTGTCAAGCCTATAAGGAGTTGCCATGTCCCAAGCCAAAGTTGTCTCAGATTGCTTTATCCTCTTACTTGTTTCTCCAGGCTCTCCAGAAGCAGCTCTCTGTGCCCAGGGTGCTGCAGCTCTTTCTGCTGATGGGAGCCACACTGAAGGAGTGGGGAAGCCCCCCAAACTTGTGATGTGATACTGCAGCTTCCTTGATGTTTGTGAGCCTCCTCAGGCAGTGTTGGTTTATGTGGAGAAAACGTGTTTAATAATCCAAGTAGGTCACCCTGCCTGCCTGGAAAAAGGGCAGGTTGGAAAGAGCTGCCTTCTCCTGGAGGTTGCTGAGATTCTGGTTTCTGCTCCCTGTTGTGCCATCTCCTCTCCAGTGGTTACCCTGGACCTGCTGGCTGAGGGCTGAAGCTGCATGTTTGGAGTGAAAGAAGAGACATGGAGGTTGGTTTGTGCCTTTCAGTGTGCCCAGGTGCTCATTTTGGCTCCTTGGGAAGCCCAGTCTGGCTGCTTTTACAATGTGAGACCTTGTTACAGTCTTCCAGTGCCTAAAGGGGCTACAAGAAACCTGGAGATGGGCTTGTGACGAGGGCCTGTAGGGACAGGCCAAGGGGAATGGCTTGAACCTGCCCGAGGGGAGACTGAGCTGAGCTCTGAGGCAGAAGCTCTTCCCTGTGAGGGTGCTGAGGCGCTGGCACAGGGTGCCCAGAGAAGCTGTGGCTGCCCCATCCCTGGCAGTGCTCAAGGCCAGGTTGGACACAGGGGCTTGGAGCAAGCTGCTCCAGTGGAAGGGGTCCCTGTCCATGGAAGGGGTTGGAGCTGGAGGAGCTTTAAGTTGTTTTCCAACCTGAACCAGTTGGGTTTAAACTGTTGGGATCTTAAACTGTGATTAGTCAGCTCTTCTCTGTCTTTATTAGTGGCACTTGGAGGATCCACTGGAGCATCTACCCTGCACCGAGGACACTGCACATGTTTCAAGTGCTGAATCCTGCTTCTAGGCAGGAGCCTGCAGGCAGCAGATTTGGAGCAGTGCTCAGAAAACAAAGGCAGGAAGTAAATTCTGGACCAAGCATTCGCAGAGCTGATTTGTGCTTCTCTGACCTGGCCTTGGGAAACAGTAATCTGGGATCTTGTGGCAGCTGAAAACTCTATCTGAACACACAAATAGAATCCCAGGGGCTGCTCAGGGTCATGTGCTGCATTCGTGTCCCTGATGTTTTTGCAGCTAGGAAGGCAACAGGAGGTTGTCTCTTGTCTTGCTGGCGACCTGCAGCTCTCCCAGGAGCCAGGAGACACTACAGTGAGTGGTGCTGGTGGATTGTGACCTGCAGCGTATCATACCCCTGAGCAAAGGTAAGGGGACAGCTGGCTGTTGCTGTAGCTCCTCTGGAAGGCAGTGAGGAATGTAACTTCAAAGTCCTTCAGCCTTTTATGGGCTCACTTTAAATTGGCGTCGTGGTTTTAGCATGGTGCCGCTGTGCCTGGATGTCGTCACAGAGCTGACTCTGTCCTGGAGAGGTTATGCTTCCTGCTGGGATGTCTGCTGTCTAATTAACCCTCATCAAGCTTTACTGCAAGTTTTGTACACGGATCTGGACTTGAAGGCTGTAATGAAGAGAGGAGCCAGAGGCTGGGAAGAGGCTGGCATCCCAACTGTGCTGGAGAGCCTGTTTTGTTCCACTCCTGTGACTAGCAGAGTGGAAAGGAGCAGGAACACTGTGTTCAGATAAGGCTGCACCTTTCCCATGGAGCAGATGTTTGCCTGAACATCCCACTGGATTGCATAATTGCAGAGTGGAGCGTGGAGCCGAGCGGCTGCAGCCGCTGCTGCTGCTGGGGATCAGCTATTGTGTGCTCCTCTTGATGAGATGTTTTGCTTTTGTGGCTGCTGTGTCACGCAGCTTGGGCTAAAGCCCTCCAAAATTGTCCTTTTTTGTTCCCTGCACACAGCTGATCGGAGACAAGGAAACAAATCACTTCTTTCTCAGTTTCATTTCCCTGCTCTTGTCCTGCTCGCTTCTTGCTGTAATTGGGCTGCAGTGCTGGAAGTGCTTTTCTGCTGAGCTGGTGAGGAAGCACTTCAGCATGATGTGTCCTACATCAGCAGTGTGGCCCTGGGGAAGTGAACACCCAGGATGCCATCCCCACCTGCCGCCAAGGGAGGAATGTGTTAACAGCCCCTCTGCATCTTCCGCTCCTGCCCTGCCTCCGGAGCCTGAATGAGCAGATGGATTTCTGAAGCAGAAAGAGTTCTTGCATAAAAGAAAAAGAGGGAACCTGCCCGAGGGGAGACTGAGCTGAGCTCTGAGGCAGAAGCTCTTCCCTGTGAGGGTGCTGAGGCGCTGGCACAGGGTGCCCAGAGAAGCTGTGGCTGCCCCATCCCTGGCAGTGCTCAATGCCCTTGCAGTGGCAGTGCTCCATCTGGGAGCTCTGCTTTGAGCAGCCCTCACTGGGCTGAACCACGGAGGGCTCAAATCACTTGATCCTCGGGGGGGGGAAGTGCTGGTGAGGGAGCAGCTTCTGGGCTTTGGAGTTGAAAACCCTCAAGCAGAAGCCTGGAGGGGGTTGCTGAAGGTGGCAGGGTCCTTGAGGAACCTGCAGAGCAGGGGTGGAAAGGAGCAGAGCAAGCTGAGCAGCGCCCCAAGGCCCTCTCCATCCTAGCAGGTACATTGAGCTCTTTCCTTTAATTTGCACAAGCCAGGCTGTTCCTTTCCCTCCTGAGTTTATGTTCAACCAGAGAAGGCAAAGGGCTTGGGAAAGGAGTGTGGCACGTAGGGGTGGTGCAGCAGATCCTGGTTTGCAAATGTCATCTTCCTTCCCCAAAGTGGAGGTGGTTCCTGTGTGCTTGAAACGGCAAAACGAGGCATGGAGCTGGTGTGGGAGGTGAGAGGAGGGGAACAGGGGATGAAATGGGGTTGCTTATCCCTGACTGCTTCTGGGAGTCACAGGGGAGGCCCTTTCAGGGGAGGCAGGGCTAAAACTCGAGTCTCTTTTTGTGTTGGACGCTGACTGTACAGAGGCTTTCCTGGAGTAAATCCATCCCTGTCCTGTGGGGTGCCAGCATCACGGCTGTGAATAGTGAGGCGTATAAAACAGCAGATGCTGAATCAGGGATGAGAGCTCCTGAATGCTACAACCAAGGCATTCAGCTCTGAGGCTGCAGAGGAGCTTGAGCCTTGGTCAGAGCTGTGCCCAGATGAGAAGAGGTTGAAGGCAGCGGGTCAGGCGATGTGTGGTGCAAGACCCGGGCAGGGTGGAAAGCTGGGGTTTCATCCCAGGGTTCCCCTTCCAGAGCCACTTATGACATTCCTGAATACCCCCCCATGATGCAGCACCAAATAGGTTAAGGATCATCTCAATCAGCTTATAAAGAGCTGAACCTTCCCACGGCAGAGCTCTTGCTCCCCACAGACCCAGGTGCTGTCTCCTGTGGCTGTATAACCCCCAAATTTAATCTGGAGTTGTTGGGTCTCACAAGGCCATCTGTCAGCTTGGTTGAGATGAGCACAGCCAAGGAGGCAGTGCAAGATTTGTTCTCATTTTCTGCCTAAACAAGTCAATTTTATAAAGCTGATTTGGGGGGGGGGGGGAGGTTTTGCTGGTGATGCCCTTGTCCACCTGAAGCATCATTTCTCCCTGAGATCCACAGCTCCTCATGCCCGGATCACCTTATCCATGGCACAAGTATTGGCGTTGATTCCACTCTTGGTACCTGTACAGCAGCAGACACTTAGGAGCTGGGGATGAGAGCAGCTTGTGGTAATTATCACAAATTCAAGCTAATCTCCTGCTCTGGAACGGTGACAAAGTGCAGAACAGAGATTAGTGCAGCAGAAGAGCGGCCATGGCAGGGGGAGCGCAGTGTCCCTGCGCCACAGTGTGCTCCCAGTGACTTCCAGCTTGGAGCAGCATTTGCCCCTTGGAGTTCCTCTGTGGTCTTGACTTGCTGCTCCAGCTCATGCCCTGAATGCTCATGATGCTCACTTAGTGCCGTATCTCCTGCAGCACTGCAGGGCTTCTTGTTGAATGGTCAGAGTTGTATTGTCTTGGGCTCAAGAAGTGAGTTTTGAGCACAAAACCGGGTGATTAATTTGCTTATGTAACAAAGGGGAATGGCTTTAAGCTCAAAGAGGGGAGATTTAGATGAGACATTAGGAGGAAGTGCCTAAAGGGGCCCACAAGAGACCTGGAGAGGGGCTTGGGACAAGGGCCTGTAGGGCCAGGCCAAGGGGAATGGCTTGAACCTGCCCGAGGGGAGACTGAGCTGAGCTCTGAGGCAGAAGCTCTTCCCTGTGAGGGTGCTGAGGCGCTGGCACAGGGTGCCCAGAGAAGCTGTGGCTGCCCCATCCCTGGCAGTGCTCAAGGCCTTGGACATGGGCTCATGTTTCCATCTCTGAGATACCTAGTCTAAAAACCCGAATTTCTCACCGTTCACTGTAATGGAGTAATGGTGGCTTCTCCCCAAGGCAGTGCTAGAGATAAATGATGCATTCATTTCTGTGGTATATTTGGATGTGGGGTTCTATAAATAGATGCAATTATCAATGTGGTTTGTCAAGTGCTTTCTGAGTGGCTGGAAAGCAGCTTCCTAAGTGTCTCTGTGGGCTTCTTATGGAACCGACTCTTCGGTGCAGTCTGGACCTAGTGCCCTGCAGCAGGGATTTACAAGAACCGTCTCCTGAAGCCTCTAAGAAACATTATTGCTAAGAAAATGTGTGCATCTTTGCTTCTGGATGTGGAATTGGTTGGGTTACCCCTGTCATTTCAGACTGCTGCACTGATGAAACTGAAAACTGAACAAAAGCAGCTGCTTTAAAGGCTTTCCAGCTTGCTTGACAGAGCAAAGCATCAGCTGGTTTCTTGGTGGGGCTCTTGTTGGGCTTCTTCCCAATGTCCCTACTTTTACTGATGCTCTTCCCTTCTCTCCTCAGGTCTGGCACCAAAGAGGGCAGCCGTCACCGAGGTGAGATGTGTAAAGCTGGCCCTGTACATCCTGTGTTGGGAAAGGAGAACACAGAGCTCTGGGAAGCACTTCTGTCTGGCTTTTTCTGAGCAAAGCGGAATTCCAGAGTACCTTTAAGATGACTGAAAACTTGAGATCTGTTATTTGGGAGAAGGAAAATTAGTGGCAGGTCTCTGGAGTCCCTGTGTTGGCGTTACCACAGCCACAGAGGGGTTGTGAAGGGATTATGCCCAGCCCATGGCCAGTTTTAGTTATGTCATCCCTGATGTCTCATAGTAACTGCCTGAGAGCACCTCTTCCACACCAGAACCTGAAAGTAATAAATAGAGGATCTGTGTTCTGGACATGTGCAGGGCTCTGTGTTGGGTATCACCTGCTCGTGGGAGTGAGCCAAGGAGCCTACAACTTGTGAAGCCATGAAACAAGGGAATATGTCAAGGGACTGATCTTCTCTCACCCCTAATCCAGGTCACAGGCTGCTGAATCACTGCTACCTTCTGGTGCAGAGCTCTTCCCAGTTGGCAGCAGGGAATATTGTGGGAGGATCTGTACCTCAAAGCTGTTCCCTGAAGCCCACGCTCTTGGTTTAGGGCAGCGTGTTCAACTGATTCTTGTTTGATCTGATTTTTCCATCACTCACCTGAGAGGCTGAGCATCGTCCCATGGAACTGCCAGGGATGTGACACTTGATTCTTTTCTGCATCCCCAGAAATAATCATAGTAGGGAGCTCAACTTATGTGGAAGTTGATTGCACTCTTAGGGCACAAATAGCTCCACTTTTTCCAGGAGGGGAGCCCTTGGAAACAAGCCTGGCTGTGCTCAGTGCTTGAAACAGGGCAGGAAATGAAGATTTGTGCAGGAAAAATCACTGCCCTTTAGCACGAGCAGTCCAAGCGCTTGGAGCAGAAATAGCTCCAGCTCTTGATTCAGAGCTAAAACACAAAGAACAGCTGTAGTCGGAACAAAATTATCCATTGTCTGCTGTAGACATCACTTTGGAGAGGATGGGTTTGTGCAGCACTCTAGAGAGACACTGAGATAATGTTGTTCCTTGGGAAATTGACCTTGACTCTCTCTGCATGCTGCTTGAAGGAATAGCCAAAGCCTGGCCCTTCTTTAAAGTAACCAGCCCCTACATGTCATTGGTGGAGTTTCAGCTGTTTGCTCAGCTTCTGGTCTGGGCTTTAGCCATGCTCTTTCATTGCAGGGACCATCACTCCCAGGACAGCCTGGCCAGGGGAAGAAGATTGGTCATCGAAGCGTTGATGCTTCTGGTGAAACCACCTACAAAAAGGTTTGGTTTGTGCGGTGGGAGTAGCTGCTATGTGTAAGTGGAGGTTGAGAAGTTGGGGCCCAGTAGCTGCCAATCTGAGATAGATTGTTTTTTTGTGCAGCACACTTTTACTGCATAATCTTGCACATGGCAAACCTGGAAGCCTTAACTCGGCTCTTCAGCGGCTGGTAGAATTTGTTCAGCAGTATGTAGTGCCTGAGATGACCCCACAGGAGCCATAGACGTGACTGTATCATAATCCATGGGATGTTACTGGGGTAATCTGTTGTGAAACACTCACTGCTCTTTTCTTTCCTGCCAGACCACCTCATCCACTCTGAAGGGGGCCATCCAGCTGGGGATTGGGTACACTGTTGGCAATCTGAGCTCCAAGCCAGAGAGAGATGTCCTAATGCAGGACTTCTACGTGGTGGAAAGCATTTTTTTCCCAAGGTAATGGAGACAGGGAAACAAAACAGATGAGCAGCCTGCTCTAGTGAAAGGTGTCCCTGCCCATGGCAGAGGGCTGGAGCTGAAGAGCTTTAAGGTGCCTTCAACACAAACCAGTTTGTGATTCTATGAGTTACTTCTTCTCGCTGATTCTTTTCAAAAGAGCTTCCTTCCATCTGTCTTTAGATCACTGAGTTGGATGCTCTGAGTGTTTTAAATATGCATCCATCACCTTCAAACAGAACAGTGGGAAGTGCTAGATTCTGCAGCACAGAAAGGAAGTACAATGCAAGATGCAGTACTGTCTGCTTTTGTTAGCCTTCCTCCATGATTTTATTTCTACATGTCAATCTAGAATTTCTGCCATGGAATTATACCATGTGTCTTGGGTTCAGATAATTTAAAACCTATTTTCCTGTTGTTGGGCCACAGAAGAAAGATGGGGTTTGTTGTTCTAAGATTTCTTCTAGCAAAGCTGAATTCATCTTAAATATACAGTAGCCTTGCTGTGACTCTGCTTATCTTGTGAGTGGTAATACAGAGGCCCTGCTCATGCCACGTCTCTCCTGTGCAGTGAAGGAAGTAATCTCACTCCAGCTCACCATTATGCTGACTTCAGGTTCAAGACCTATGCACCAGTGGCTTTTCGGTACTTCCGAGAACTCTTTGGGATTCGTCCAGATGATTATTTGGTATGGATTGTTTTCTTCTTTCTCTCTTTCCTCCTTTGAGAGAAGAAATTTGCCCCTAAATCAAGGCTGCCACCAATCCTTACCTAAAAGGGACAGAAAAAGAGATAAGGAATGGTTCTGATCCCAGCAAGGAGTGGGAACAAGCTATGGATTTATGTACTGTGCTCAGGTTTGGAGGGGATCCAGTGATGGTCCCAGGAAGATTAGCAGCATTCAGTCCATGTCTTCATTTGCTAAGAGGTGTATCTGGGTTCCACTAGAGGGAAAGGGAGTGATCTGTATCTGTGTGTGCTGTGTGAGCTGTGCAGTGGGGTTCCCTCTCTGCTGCTTCGGATGACAGTAACTCTCTGTTTACGAGCACAAGGAATGGTGTTCTGCTGGGTGCAACCTCTAAGTCCCCTGGGGCTCCGAGGACAAAGATGGGAACTTTTCCTTGTGTACTCACTTCAGAGCTATGTGAGTTGCAGTTATTTTAATCATCTTACAGAGACAGAAGAAAACACAGCTTGTTCTTGTGCTCAGAAAGCTTCTTAGAGCTGGAAAGGCTGTTTTTAAAATACCCACTAATACAAGCTGTCGGGGCTTGAAGTGCACTGGGGTTGAAGTTGGTCCTTTGCATGTATGTGATGCCCTGCTCTTTAGAACTGAAGGACATTTATTGAGCTAGGGAAGGAAACACACCCAAATGAGCACAGGGTTTTTTAATAGGCCTTTTTTCTGACTTCAGCTGTAGGCAGGAGCAGTTGTTGCTGAGCACCTTCCAGTAGAAACAAATCTGTGCCATTGCATGGTTTGACAGCAGCAGTGGTCCCCATCTGTGCCACCCAAGATAACACTGGCTGGTTTGATGCGTGGCTCAGAACTTTGGTGAGGCAAAGAGCCTGCCTCAGCTGCAGAGGTCACAGCTCTGATTTCTTGTTTCTGCTTCCCCTGATTGTCTCTTGCCTGCCACAGCAGCAAATGCCTTAATTATGCATGAGATAATTAACTTGATAAAGTCTTGGATCATTAATCTGTGCAGAACTGAAAGCCGTTTTCAGTATGTCATGATGAGCAGTGAATTTATTGCTCTGATTATGTGCTTCACATCCCCTCCCTCCCTCTCCCTATCTTACCTCTTGCTGGGGCAGCTCTGGTGTGATGCTGCCCTGAATTTGACCTACATGGTTACCTTAGGGTTGGTACCTGCTGTAAAGGGCATTTGTGTGCTTGCACTTCTTTTTTAACCATGGGCCATTTGAGGACCTGCTGTTTGCATACTGATGTCTAGAAATGGCCTCCAAATCCAGTTCCTGGTGCTGGACCCCTTTGCTGTGCTTACACTGTGCTGACCCTCTTCTTGTTTGGACACCTGGTCTGATACTTTTCGTGTGTTTCCAGCAGGATTGAGGGGTGAGATGGGGATTTCTCTGTAACAGGGAGCACGAAGCCAGAGGAGGCTGCTAAGAACAGGCAGTGCACTCTCTTCCCTCCAGCACAGCGATACGTGGTACTCTGAGCAGATTGTCTTGTCTCTTAAGATCCCATCTTTCCCTCTGCACTTGTGGTGATGTTCTGAAAGAAGCCTAAATGTCAGACACACACAGTGGGAGAAGATAAGATGTCATTATGAAGACTGGATGTTGCTGAAAGCAGATGATTAGCTTTATCCTCAGCAGTTGGGATGCTCTGAACTGTAATCTTAGTCATAAACTGCCCATCCACTTTGGTTAGACCTACCCTATAATGAAAATAGTTCTCAGTGAAGCTTTGCTACCCCTTCATCTTCCAGGGAGACAGCATGCTGGGGAAAGCCCTCAAGGGTGTAGGACTCAGTGTTCAATGAATGAAGCCTAAAAACATGATCTTTTTTCTCTTTCCCTTCCTAGTATTCCCTATGTAATGAACCTCTGATAGAGCTGTCGAACCCTGGTGCCAGCGGTTCTCTCTTCTATGTCACCAGCGACGATGAATTCATCATAAAAACTGTGATGCACAAAGAAGCTGAATTCTTACAGAAGCTCCTTCCTGGCTACTACATGGTGTGTATCCCCCCAGCACCAATGTTCACACAAATCCAGGCCCAGAAGCACAAATCCTGCCAAGTATTTGCAAAGACCCTGTCCCTGGTTTATCCTGGGCCAGAGAACAGCTCTTGATTTCTGACTTCTGGAGAGATGAAGAGAGCTGATATTTTTAAACTTGAAGTTCCCACTTACTGTGTTTATTTCTCCTCCAGTTTGGTTTCCCTTTTTTAGCTGCTGTTGATGGGGAAAGCAGGGAATTTCCAGACTTGGTTATTTGTGCAGAGAGTGCTGAAAATCCCATTCCCTCTATTCAAGGCATAGTGGTATTTTCAGGTCCTAAAGCCAGTGAAATGCAGGAATTTGTCACATGTATGCAGTAAGTTCTCATGTAAAGTTGAGAATAGCTCTAAATGAAGACCCTGCATCTGACTGTTCCAGGACCTGTTCACTACAAAGGCGCTGGCACAGGGTGCCCAGAGAAGCTGTGGCTGCCCCATCCCTGGCAGTGCTCAAGGCCAGGTTGGACACAAGGGCTTGGAGCAAGCTGCTCCAGTGGAAGGGGTCCCTGCCATGGCAGGAGTTGGAACTGGAGGAGCTTTAAGCTCCCTTCAACCAAACCCATTCCATGGTTCTATAACATGTATTGAACGCAGCAGTTCTCTGCCACAATGACCTTTCCCTATGTTTTTTCCCAATCCGTCTGCAGAACCTGAACCAGAACCCCCGGACACTGCTACCAAAGTTTTATGGACTCTACTGTGTGCAGTCAGGGGGCAAAAACATCCGTGTGGTTGTGATGAACAACATCCTGCCTCGTGTGGTCAAAATGCACCTGAAGTTTGACCTGAAAGGCTCCACCTATAAACGCCGGGCATCCAAGAAGGAAAAAGAAAAGTCCAGCCCTACGTACAAGGATCTAGACTTCATGCAAGACATACCCGAGGGCCTGATGTTGGATGCAGACACCTTCACTGCACTGGTGAAAACACTGCAACGGGACTGTCTGGTAAGGAGGGGAGCAGGTTGATGAAGTTCCGTGGCTCTCGAGCATGGCAAAGAGCAGATGACTGAGAAACTTACTAATCTGCTAACCCCAAAGCAGGATAGATTCCTTCTCTTGTGCTTTTCCCTGAAAGCAAAGCAGTGGAGTTGGATTTCATGACAGCCTTTGAGGGCTAAGGCTGTAATCCTTTGCCTGGTGCCTCAGATCATGGCAGCCTGCTCCACTTGGAGCTGATCTGTTGGGACTAAATACATTTTTCCTGTATAGTGTGCAGCACATACATGGGACAACACCATAATTTGCAAGCCTTCGGCCCTTTGGGTTGACTGTGGGATGGCCAAACTCCATTCAATCAAATTCAGAGATGGCTTTTGATTCAGAACTGTTCAGGCTCTGGCAGAGGAGTCGATAGAGGGGATGTGGACAGGCTGTCCCGTGCTTTGGTGTCTGTGCTGCCTTTGAGCTGCTGGCCTGATATTTTGTCTTTGTTCTTAAACTCAATGCTAACTTGTAGGTGTTGGAAAGCTTTAAAATCATGGACTACAGCCTCCTGCTTGGGGTTCATAACATAGACCAGCAAGAACGGGAGCAGCAGTCCGAGGGAGCCCACAGCACGTCGGATGAGAAGCGTCCCGTGGGGCAGAAGGCACTTTACTCCACGGCCATGGAGTCCATCCAGGGTGGGGCTGTCCGGGGGGAGTCCATAGACACGGATGACGCGTAGGTGAAAACCTGGTTCACTTGGGGGGGGAGGTGGAGTTGGAGTAGTAAATCCCAAATGAGGCCGGTATGAACTGTCAGGAGCGAGCATCTCTCCTGGGGGTTGTGGTACTGCTGCCAGTAAAGCAGCATGGTGTGAAAGGGGGAAACTGAGGTGGGAAATAGTGCTGGAAGACTGCAGCCTCCTACCTCTCTTCTTAGGCCAGTCTATAGGTTGGCAGCTCCTGTAACAGCCTCTGAACATCTACCCGTGCTCTGGGAAGCATAAGCTTGCTCAGTTCTAGCTGAGCATGCAAATACTGGAATGGAAGTAGGGGTCAGCCTGTTCCTAGGAGCTTGGAGTTAGTTCTCCATCACTCCATCTTTGGAATCCCTGGCAGTAGAATAGAATAGAACAGTTTGGGTTGGAAAGGACCTTAAGATCATTCAGTTCCAGCATCCCTGCCATGGGTAGTGACACCACACGCTAAACCATGTCATCCAGGACTGTGTCCAGCCTGGCCTTGAACACTGCCAGGGTTGGAGCATTCACACTTCCCGAGGCCATCCCAGTGTGGTTAGCAGACAACAGTGTAGCCAGGTGCTGGAGTAACTGGTGGAGCTGTGGGTTGATGGGTTTGCCCAGAACCTGTCCTGTGCCTGCCCTGTGGCTCTCATGACTGTCTCTGTGGCTCTGGGTACCAAACGTGCTAAAAGATGGTGGAGTTTACTCTTTGTTGGTGTCTGAAACCAGCTGCTCCAGTTCTGATGGAGGATCAGTCACAGCAGAGCCAGGATAATGCTTTGGTGTTTCCATTCTTCAAAGCAGCATCATTAATTCCAGTGGCATTCTTTTGTTGTGTGCTGGGGCTTGTGGTTGCTGCACCTGTAACAGGACTGATGTTAGTGTGGATGGATCTGGAAACACCCTCATCCTTGAAGGTTTGCTGCCCTAATAGGCAGGCAGCTTGCAGTGACCTGATAAATATTCTGAGCCCCAGAGTAAGAAGTCCTGTAGCTAAGAGAAGGCAGTGTGGTGCTGTCTGGCCCAGGCAGAGCTGTCACCTTTGGTCCTCTCCTGATCGTTGGTGTTTGGTGATCCAGGCAGGCAGGAACCTTGGGGACGCCTGGTGTGAGATGCACTGTGTCAGTCAGTGACTTCCCCTGGTTGTGCACAAAAGTGGCTTTGCAGATTTGGCACTGTGACCACCATATCAGAGCCCTTTTTTCAGAGCTGCTGCTGCTGCCCACCCTTCTGCAGGGCTCAGGGTGTTATTTTGGGGGTGCACTCACTGAAGTTTTGTTCTGCTTGCAGGATGGGAGGAATCCCAGCGGTGAATGGCAAAGGAGAGCGTCTACTGCTCCATGTAGGAATAATAGATATCCTTCAATCATACAGGTAGGTAACTTTGCAGTTGCCTGGCCTTTAAGGATGTTAACATCTATTTTAATCCTGAATGGAAGCAGCAAGGTTTTCCTCTGCTGAAGGGTCTGCTAATGAGTAGGCAGGCTGCCTAAAGCTGTCTGTCCGTGCGCGGCGGGGGATGTGGATTTTTACCCTGTCCTTAGAACAGCTGGTGATGCAGAGCCATTCTTCTAAGGTATAAGAGGTTTCCAAGGCATCATAAGTCCAGGGTTGGAAGTTGATTATCTGCCCCTCCTGGAGCCCAGCTCCTCCTTCCCTGTGGGGTTCCCAGGCAGTCCTGACCTGGCTCAGAGGTGCTGGTGTGCTCAGCTGACCTGTCTTGGCTGGAGGAAAGCTGCGCCTGGATGAAGGAGGAATTGTTAGCAGCTCAGTGATCTCCCCTGTGTGGCTTAGGCATAGAGTATGTGCCTGAATCTGTCTCTTTCTCTTCACTTCTCCCCTGGAATGTAGGTTCATCAAGAGGCTAGAACATACCTGGAAGGCCCTTGTCCATGATGGGGTGAGTGTCTGTCCAGGCCATGGCAGGATTACCTGCCTTGGCTTCCTTTATGCTACTTGCTGCTGATTACCTTGCTATTTATAGTGCCTGAACTGGCACAGTTGCAGCTGATGGAAGGAATAGTTCTTCCCTCTTATGCCACCACAGAGGCATAGTACCACTTATTCCCAATCAGGTTTTCTTGCTCACTCCACCTCCTTGCATGTTTAGCTATTGTGCTACCAGCTTTCCTCCTCTACTCCCATCTGTCGTTTTCCTGCTCCCCATGACACCAGGAGCTGTACGCACACACTGTATGCATTCAGGTGTGTGTTCAGGAGCCCTGTGTTTGCTCTCTTTGACTCTTTCCACTCCAGTAACTATCTGCTAATAAATGCCTCTCAGTGCTTCCCTGCTGCCGTGTCTCCTGCGGCAGCCGTGTGCACATTTACAAAAGAACAACCTTGGATGTGGAAACTCTTTCTCAGCATCACAGATCCTGGCTTCCCTTAAATAATGAGGCAAAGGAAGTGTGTGGCTGCCGAGTCACGGTGGCACAGTGAAACAGCAGGGACAAAGACAACTCCGGGTTTGGGATTTTCAACTTAAAAGTGCAAACTGTGAGCTGGGTGGAGAAACTTGGCTCCACACTGGGGTCGGTGCTGTGTGAAAGGCCCCTGGGTGTGCCTTGAATGCAGCAGAGCCAGGAGAAATGTCATGTGTGTAAAACTCCAGAAGGCTACAAAGAAATAAAATCACCAAAATCCATTCTAAAGTTACAGCCAGAATATAATCAAATGCAATCAAATCAAAGGCAATGCTCCAGGCTTATTTATAGCATTAATCAGCTCATTTCAGTTAAGCCTTTCCATTTTAAGGCTCTATCAGGGCTAAGTGTTGGATTAGAAAAGACTCTGCTGGTTGTGACAGAAATTCTGCATTGAGGGGTACTTTTCCGATGCAATAACTGCTCTTTGCCTCTGCAGGACACGGTGTCTGTACACAGACCCAGCTTCTATGCAGAGAGGTTTTTCAAATTCATGACCAACACAGTGTTCCGAAAGAATTCCTGTAAGTACCTTACCCAAGAGTAAGCCCTCGTAAGTAAGCCCGTACTTACTCTTACCCAAGAGTAAGTAAGTATGCCCTCGTGATGAGTCAAAGCAGTTGTGCTGCTTTGGTCGATGTTGGGGGTTTCTGGAGCAGAGTCTGAGCAGGCTTCTCCACTGGGGGAAGAGCAAAGCCCTCAGGTTGCCATGGCTTGCTTTGCTCTGCTCAGACTGGCCTCGGAGCTCTCCTGTCCCCACAGGCTGGCTCACACTCAGCCCTTGGGAGATGGCACTTGCAGATTACTTGTGTGTGTGTGCCAGAGGGTGGAGGCCTCTCTCCCTCTAGGAAGGGTAAAGTGCCTTTGGTGTGGCAGGAGTTCAATACCTGACCACCCTCTGGGGAAAAAATTGTTCATCTCCATCTAAACCTTCCCTGGTGCAGCTTAAGGCCATTTCCTCTTGTCCCATCCCTTGTTCCTTGGGAGCAGAGCCCAGCCCCTCCTGGCTCCATCCTCCTGTCAGGCAGTTGGAGGGAGCCATCAGGTCCCCCCTGAGCCTTCTTTTCTCCAGACTGAACCCCCCAGGTGCCTCAGCCCTTCCCCATCACCCCTGTGCTCCAGGCCCTGCACCAGCTCCATTGCCCTTCTCTGGCCCCACTCCAGCACCTCAGTGTCTCTCTTGTGAGGAGCCCAGAACTGAACACAGGATTCAAGGTGCAGCCTCACCATTGCCCAGCACAGGGGCACAACCACTGCCCTGGTGCTGCTGATGCAGGCCAGGATGCTATTGGCCTTCTGGCTACCTGGGCACAAACTAGTTCACGTTCAGCTCCATCACTCAGCACCCCCGGGGCCTTTTCTGCCAGGCAGCTTTCCATCCACTGTAGTTGCTGGTAGGAATTTCATCTCCTTTCCCTCCTGTCATCCAGCTCTGAAGTCATCTCCCTCAAAGAAAGGGCGCAGTGCCTTGCTGGCTGTCAAGACTGCTGGTCCAATGGCTGCATTTTCAGCTAGCCAGCTTCCCTCTGAAAAGGATGAGACACAGTATGACCTTCGTGCAGCCCGGAGCTACCCCACACTTGACGATGAAGGTAATGGTCTGATGTGGTGCCTCATGGCCCTGTGATTACCCTCTCTCTTGTAGCAATTCCTTAGGATCCTCCCACATGCTCATCAAGTTCCCCACTGTGCACTGACCACGTCTTCCTTGGTGAATTGCTCTTCACTGCTGTATCTTTGCAGGTGCTAATTTTCACCAGGACAGGGGAGAATGTAAGAGTATGCTCTCTGGTCACAGCACCAGGAGTTAGTTGTCTGGGGAAGCAACTCCTCTGCATTGAAGACCGAATCTCTTTGCAGCACTGTATGGTTCTGAGTAAAAATGCTTGCTTGTGTCACTGCTGCAAGGCACCAGCAGTCATAGCCCTTAAAAAGGTGTGGAAGGGAAGGGCTGGGAGCTATAGGACTCTAATGACAGTGTCTGAATAGTTACAAGGGCCATCAGATAAATGACAGTTTACCTGGTTCTGTGCTGCCTTTTGTTTGCTCCCATCTGGGCTGGCCTTACACATGAGTGGTGAAGGGCAGGCTCCTCAAGTGCAAAGCAGCAAGCACTGGATTTATCCCTTAATTCACTTGGATATTTGTCTCTGGTGATCCAAGACTTTTAATCCAGCTTTGGTTGCCAGCGAGATGTCTTCACGGGCATTACATTTCCTGTACTGTCTGTCTATGCCACTGGGAATGGTGCTTGCTGGCTCCCTTCTAGAGGATGCTTTGGAAGACGCTTGCATTCATGAGCCCAGCTAAACTTCCTGCAGTTTCCCAGGGAGGGTGGGCAGGTTGCTGGTGGAGCTGCCTCTCACAGGGCTGGTGTAGGTGAGGTGCTGGTGTTTGACCTACTCATCCTTTTCTTCCTCCATCTCTCCTGCCCTCCACTCTGGACCAGCAGGCAGGCCAGACCTGCTACCTTGCACACCTCCTTCCTTTGAGGAAGCTACCACAGCTTCCATAGCCACAACACTGTCTTCAACATCTCTCTCTGTTCCCGAGCGATCCCCTTCGGAGACCTCTGAGCAGCCCAGGTACAGGTGAGTGCAGCACCCACCCACCCCTGCCCCTCTGCAGCCGGGCTGCTGCGGATCCTACTTGTGCTGCACATCTCAGCAGCTGCCCTGTGATCTGGAATGTTAATGACTGCCTTTAATGAAACCTCTCCTGGGAACAAACAGACACAGCTTTGGTGGGATTAATTATTGCTGGGAGAAGTGTCAGCTGTTAAGTAGAACATCTCCCTCATGGGGTGGGGAGTTAGAGCTGGGGACAGGATTCCTGTCTTAAATCACTCCTTACACTCTGCTGTTGTTGTTTCCTTCTGCAGGAGGCGTACACACTCCTCAGGGCAGGATGGCAGGTAAGGAAAGTCTCATCTCGTCTTGAACTGCTGTACAGAAACCTCAAATTCATCTTTATGTCTCTTGAAGGGCTGAACGTGAATTTCAGCAGCCCCAAGATTTTGGCACGGTCCTCTGCAGGATGGCGATCTGCTTCCTGCAATCAAATGATCCCAGTTATTTAGACAGAATTTTCCTTACAAGTGGATCTCCCAGTGCTTTGTGAGGAAAACAGAACCAGAGCCTGGTTTGGTTTAGAAGGGACCTTAAAGCTCCTCAAGTTCCCACCCCCTGCCACGGGCAGGGACCCCTTCCACTGGAGCAGCTTGCTCCAAGCCCCTGTGTCCAACCTGGCCTTGAGCACTGCCAGGGATGGGGCAGCCACAGCTTCTCTGGGCACCCTGTGCCAGCGCCTCAGCACCCTCACAGGGAAGAGCTTCTGCCTCAGAGCTCAGCTCAGTCTCCCCTCGGGCAGGTCCAAGCCATTCCCTTGGCCTGTCCCTACATCCCTTGTCCCAAGCCCCTCCCCAGGTTTCTTGTAGCCCCTTTATGTGCTGGGAGCTGCTCTAAGGTCTCCCCAGAGCTGTTTGTTCTGATCTTCTGGGGAATCCCTTCTGGGGTTTTGAGAGGAAGAGGAGTGAGTTGCCTAGCATGGGGCTGGATGGGAGTGCTGGCTCTTGGCTCTGGCTTCCAGCCAGGGGTGGCACAGAGCAGGACAGTGCTGTCAATGAACCCGGAGCTCGGTTGTTTCCCAAGCATGTGCCATCTTCTTCCAGTGAGGACTGTGGAGCCAGCCCTGCTAGCCCAGGCAGTTTCTCCAATAGCATGAGGTATTAAACTGAAGACTCACAGGCAGCTCCTGAGTGTGCAGGTAAATCCAGTGCTAACCCTGGAGCGTGCTTGGGCAGCTTTGGGAGTCTCAGAAGAAGTCAGAGGCTTTGACCCTTGTGTGGCTGATAAATAATGCCAGGCAAACTCTGGGCACAGGTGTTCCCCAGAGGCCAGTCCTCTCTCCTCTCGTACTCCACTGACACTGGCTGTTTAATCCCTTTCCTCTTGTCCTCCTTTCCCACGTCTCGCTTGGTTTCCAGGTCACACGAGGAGGTGCGGGTTGAGGAGGAGCTTCAGCAGATCAGTGTCGAGCTGGAGCCCAAGTGTGATGTTGAGATCATAGCTCCTGAAGATGACAAAGAGTGAGTGTTCTATGGTTTTGGGCAGCTTTGCAGACCCCTGCCTGATGTCATTTGGTCCTGGATGTGACAGTGGAACATCTCCAGCACCTCTGTAGTAAATCATAGCCTTGCTTGCTCAATTTTGATAGACTCTGTCATCTTTTCCCCCCTCCAGAGAGGCAGCTTCTTCAGCCTGTGCCATTGTAACATCCACAGCTACTATAGAGGTAGAGACAGCCAGCCAGGCCTCGGAACCAGCCAGCCAGGCCTCGGAACCAGCCAGCCAGGCCTCGGATGAAGATGATGTGCCAGTCACAGACATATACTTTGTAAGACACCCTCTCTGCCTGGCCAGTTAGGGGTGGGATGGGAAAGGTTGGACAAGGCAGTTGGGTGCAGGGCAGTACCATCTGCATGTTGAGCACCTTGAGATCTTGACACTGGGTGGGTTTTTGAGTACAAGCAAATGGATTAACCCTTGGAGAATGCAAACCAGCATCTTGTAGGGCTCAGATGGGTGGCACTGCTGCTGTGGATGTAACCATAGGTGTGCTGCTCTACTTCCAAGAAGGATGAAGGGTTTATCTAGGCCATGTTCACTCGTGGGACAAGCCAGGGTGAATGTAGGTGCAACTGAGGGGTTCTTCCTTCCTCAGCCAGAGAGCCCGACTGCTTTCCTGAGCTCAAACGTGCCCCAGTGGCCTAGAGCCAGAAGGGAGGTGATTGCAGTGGGGCTGACCTTGGGCTCTGGTGAACTCTGGCTTTTCCTTTCCCTGCAGGCAGATGCATTAGGTGATGCAGTGGATATCTACTGCTGAGACAGGGAGTAAGTGAGGTGGTTGCTGGTTGGCAGCAGAGTGCTGTGGAGCCTGGAGCTGTTCCTCAGTCAGCCATCACAATGTCTGAGCAGCTTCTACAAACCAGAGAAGGGTTTTTAGCCACATGGATGTGCCCTGTGGGCTCCCAGAGCAGAGCTGAAGGTCTGACCCTGAGAGCTCTCCTCTGTGTCCAGTTGCTGGAACCATCTCAGTAAAGGATGTGCCCATACCCTCCCTGCACCGACATGTTGCTGTTGGGTACGTGGTGATGGAGCTGAGCCCTTGTGATGAGCCTTTCAGGCTAACCTAAAAATGGCAACGTCTGCCTTTCCCTGTGCTTGCATGACTCTGCTGTAGAGCTGCTCACTCATTGCCGAGTCATCCCAAGGCTCGTGGGGGCTGTGGAAGGAATCAGCTCCATTTTAAAGGCTCGTCTGGTTTCGGTTTTTATGCATGCCAACAGCTCCCTCTAACCCCACCTGCTCTTTCTTTGCCTGTGGGTGGCAGCTGGCTGCAGGCTGCCTGTTCCAATGGCAAGTGTCTTATAGGAAAGGTCAGTTTCTCTTCCTCCATGTCCCTGGGCAGATGGACTCACCCCCCAACTTGTTGGAGTCCTCTTTATCCAGAGGAAACCATCTGTGTGCAGTATGTGCTCCCAGAGAGCGTGACCGACTGCTCATCAGCATTTCATACTTCATCCGAGTCCTTGTTTTGTGTTAAATGTGTGTCGTGTGCTGTGGAGTGTTTCTCACTGCTGGGATGAAGGGAAAAGCTGATTTTTGGGTTCCCATGGGCGCTGTCCTTGGAAAAGCACTTGAGCTGGAGCATGAGAGTGCAGCAGGGCTGGAGCCGCGGCTGCTCACTGCCAGGAGTGCTCCAGGGGTGATGGTCAAGGGATGATCTGTCAAGTCCCAGGGGACTGTGATCTGATCTCTGGGAGCCTGCTCCTGAAAGGAGAGCACTTTATCCTCCTGTTCACCCCCAGGAGAATGAAAGTGCAGAGCTGGTGGCAGGGCTTGGACACTGCTCTTTCCACGCACGGCTTTCCTGCCCGCTGAGCCCTTCAGGCCTGGGGTTGTCCAACCCCGTGGTTGTTGCTTTCTCTTTCATTCTGTTTTTCACATCATCCTTTTTTTTTCCCTCTTGTTTCCTTTCTCACCTCGCTCCTCCTGGGGCCATCCAGTTCACAGATGGGAGGTACTGGATTTACTCTCCCCGCCAGCACAGATTCCGAACCACCTGGCTTTCCTCTGGGAGTGTAAGTGAACGTGCCAGCTCATAGGGGAGCAGGGCTGCAGCTTTGAAACACTGGGGCCAGTGCTCCCTTTCCCTGGGCTGCTGGGGCTCTGTGTCATGTGGCCCAGAAGCAACCAGGGGAGCATACTGCAGTGACACAAATGGATCTTCCCTGTAGGGCCTTGCAGGAGCACGTGCTCTGTCCTGCTTTTCTGCAGGCTGGTGACACAGCTTCTGCCGTGGGATGGGCTGTGCTATCACCCATTCCTCGGGTGAACTTGCAAGCACCAGAACTGGCCAGAGAGGCACCTGAGCCTTTGTAGGTAATGTTAGACTCAGCCCAGGAAGCCAGATGAGGTTCCAAAGAGACCGTTAAGATGTTTTGAAGCTGCTAAAAACCCAAGTCTGACCATTTAGGCTCATGGCAGGGATAGTGAGCAGCTCCTACAGCCAAGGGAGTTAGGAGCTGCTGCTGGGTTAGGTGTGGTTTCAGCTCTCCAGCCCTTCTCAACAGCACCAGTGTGCTCCCTCCTCACTGCAGGTTTTCTGGGAGCAGTGGAGGTTTTCCTTTCCTTACCACAGGATGCAGGGAAGCAGCTGAGTATTTAGGAGCTGAATCCAGAGCTCAGGCTGCTACCCTTCTAGGGCTCTGGGGGAGCTCATCTGCTCAAAGGCAGTGCCAGAGCCTCAGCACAAGCATTTGTATAGCATGGTCCTGCACCAGATGCTCCTTTATGTCCCCTCTGGGTTTGCAGCTCCCTGCATGCATCTGAGCTCCCCAAAGGCTCTGGAAGAGGCTGGCTGGAGCCTGCAGTTCAGTCAGGATGGATGAGCAACAGGATGTGGGGGAGGTTTTATGCAGTGTTGAGCTTTTCTGTGCCTCTAGAGCAGAAAAGCTCAAGAGGCTCTCACTAGAGCCCTGTGAGAAGTTGGAGGCAAGGTTGCTCTTCCCTCCGTTCTCTGCTAGTGAAGCTGCAGTTACTGATGGGGTTCAGCATGTGGAACCTGGTGCTTCAAAGCTCCTCTGTCTTTTTGTCGTTAGTTTATTGTACGTTGTAGACTGTTAAGCCCCCACCAGGCTTTTTCCAAGCACCCGGTTCCATTTCTCTTCCTCTGCAAATCCCAGGCTGTCAAAGGGTGCAGTTTCCTCTCTCTGGGAGCACCTCTGGAGACAAAAGAGCCCATTTGCAGAAGTGGGTCCCCCCCCAGGAACACCAGAAGCAGACACCAGCCTTTGAATCCTCCTGGGCTTCTCTGAGCTGTGTCAGTAGCAGAAGTGTCTTGTCACACAATGCCCAGTGCTGTGATAACCAGCTCCCTTGGCACGCACCCTCTTCCCCCTTATTCGTTCCAAGATCCACTTGTGTTTTGCCTCCTTTGTCATATTCATTCCCATCACTCCACTGTCTCCAAGACACTCAGTGATAACTGCTTCCTTTCTGTGGCCACCATCCACCATGGTCTAACCCACCTATCTGCTGCCTTGCTTGGCCTGCAGGGAAGGGGGAAGGCATAGCAAACCAGACCATGTTTCACTGTAAGATGCCAGCTTGTCTCCTGCACACGGCTCAGGAAAGGGGAGGTTGAGGGCTGGGAGTGGGTAGCAAGAACCACAAGCTCTGTCACTGCCCCTAGGTAAGTCCTTGCCTCGTGTCTCTCGGTTGCTCTAGAGCAGGGGTGCTGCTGTGGCAGGGAGGGAGCTGAGGTTTCTCTGGCATCTCAAAGCCCTAAAAAGCTGTCCCTGCAAGAGCAGTGGTTGTGCCATCCCTGCTGCAGGGGAGCAGGGTGCAGTGTCAGCTGCTGGTGGGCTGTCCCATGGACGTACCAAAGATGAGGAAGGCTCCTCTGCTGAGAGCCAGCACCAAGCTCAGTTCTCTCCCTCAGGTGGACTGTTCTTATGTATTGTTTCCTACTCTTTTTATTTTCTCCTTTTATTTGTTCCCTTTTCTCTCCTTTGCTCCCTGCTCTGCTGCTGCTCTCCTTGCATTCTCCCCACCGTCTCTGGCCACTCTGGCAGCCGACAGACGAGAGGAGTTGGGTTTACTCCCCGCTCCACTATAGCGCTCAGCTCCACTCTGTCTCTGATGAGGAGAGCGATACAGTAAGTGCACAAGACACGGGTGCTGGGTGCCCAGTGGGTCGAGGTGAGAGCTTGTGGCTGTGTCCCCTCAGCATGGGGGCTCTTGCATGGCTGCAGCAGAGCCCTGCTGTGACTCGGGTCAGCTCTGTGACAGCAGGCGAGATCTCCTGTGCTGGCAGAGCAGGGGCTGTGGCTTGTTCTGAATGGTGTGGTGCAGTGACAGCTTTGGGGAGATGAAGTTCTCCAGTGGGGTTGTCATTACTGGAGGATGCAAGATTTACAACCTTGGACTTCTTTCATGCTTGATGTGATTGTGGGGAGTTGGCTGGGCTCACGTGGAACCACACACAGGGCCGAGGGCAGGTGCTGACTCTCTTTTCTCTGCCTCTTGCAGTAATCTCTATGCAGACACAGAAGCCCCAGAGAGCAGCGATTCCCTCTGCAGGTCGATGTGATCCCCTTTTGTTGATGCAGCCATTCCAGTGGGATGGGGAAGAGCTTGCTGACACCAACCAGTATTGCTGCACTGCAGGATCCCGGGCACTGCATTTCAGAACGGAGCAAAACTATAACCATGTCTTTCTACTTATCCCAGACGTGGGCAGCAAAGGAAACCACCCGCAGCTCCTGAGGGAGGCAGCAGCGGGGTGTAGAGAATCCTGAGTAGTAATACAGTGTTTTCCAGACGTGCACTACCGTAGCTACCTATCCATGTGTGATACTGTGAACCTTTTTAAGTTTTTAACCATGTATTTATTTCTTTTACCTTTGCACAGAGACAGCACAAATGTGCTTTTTTAAACATTTAGTTTACTGCACTCTTTCCCCCCCCCCCCCTTTTTTTTTTTGTTTCTTTTCTTTTCCTATCATATATTTGTGCATCAGGAGTGTGAGACCTCACTGGAGAACTGGTAGGAGCACGTTGCTGGGGAGGGCAGGGACCGGAGTGGCTTCACTGGAGGCAGCAACATGGTCTGACCAGCTGATGGAGTCGGGAGGTTTAAGGCTGTCCAGACTCTGCCACGGTTTTGCCGAGTGATCTAAGGCAAGTCACTTGACCACTCTGTGCCTCGGTTTCCCCCATGATAAGGGGTGCACAGTACCCGCTTCCGTTAAAGCACTTAAACCCTGGGATGAAAGGTGCTATGAAAATGCAATGTATTAAAGGCCATGGAATAGAATCACTCCCATGTTACAGTAGTCCAAAGTAGCCATGCCAATTTTCTTGGATTAAAGCATCGCTGGTGACTTCTCTCAATCTGTGCCACTGTGTGGGGGCAGCAAGAGCGATCTTGGACCAATCCCGAGGGACAGTGATGTCACCTCAGCTCTCCTCTGGCTGTCGTGCTGGGTTCTGCCTCCGCCATGTGCTGCACCGCTGCATCCACCCCTCACTCTGTGCTCCGAGTCCCAGCGCTTCCTCTGAACTGACTGCTGCACCGGACACACTGGCACGGACAGATGTGCACCTCCTGGGACCAGCTGTGCCTGGGCCGGACACTGCATCCCACTGGAGCCACTTAGCACCTTGCATGCTCATGGGTGTATTCGGGGGGCACAACCATTAGGTTCATGTAGATCATCTGTACCTCAGGGTGGTCAGCAAGGCACTGGAGGCGGGAATGGGAGCTTGGCTCTGCCACCAAATGCTGTGCTCATGGGCTCTGTTGGTGACCGGGATGTTGTTGCCTGTGGTAACATCAGCTGCTGGGAATCACTGCTTCAGCTGTCTGTAGTTTGCTTGAGGAGGGATTTAAAGCAAGGGCATTTGGTGTCTCCAGGTGGTGTTAAGACAAGGCTTGCCCAACCGCCAGCAGGGCACATGCCATAGCATTATCTTCAACTCCAGCAAGCCCATCCTGATATCCCAGAGAGAAGGGAAATCCTTTAGACCAGAAGGAGCCAGGTCTCATTCCTGTGCTTTATGAGCCTTGCTTAAGAAAGAGGGTCAAAATGTCGTTCTTACAATGGTTAGACTGTCCTTGGGATTCCTTGCAGAGGAGTGGGGGAAAGGGACCCTTCTCCCAGTCTGAATTCCCGGCAGTGCTCAGGACAGCTTAATTCAGGTCGCAGAGGGAAACTGGGCTGGTGGAAGTTGCTTTCATGTGCTGAGCTTGGTGAGGATCTTCAGGAATGGATGTTTTCTTGCCTAGCATTGCAGAACCCAGACTTCCCCCCTTTGCCTGCAGATGCTCAAGGCTGTAAGGTGTGCTGCTCTCGAGCACAGGTTGCAGATCTTGCAAGCTGCTGCCATTAGGTGTATTTACCAAATAATCTATTGGAAGTCTAACTCTCCCCTTTGAGTCACTCCTCGATGGCTCATTCACCCGGCTGCCAGCATTGCTCCATGGCAGCCCTGCTGCAGGCTGAGGAATGTCCCTTATCGCCTCTGTGCCAGCCCTGGGCTCCACAGGCTGTGGGCAGTGCTCCAGGAGCTCGGAGGAGAGGGGACAGGAGCCCTGCATCTGGGCTGAAAGCTGGAGGCTTCAAAATGTTGAGAATTCAGCCTTTTTTTTTCCTCTCAAAGTGATGCTGTGCGTAGAGGCCAGAGGGAACCACATCCCTTGTGCATCTTCAGGTGCTGCTCTTGGGTTCTGTGCTGGAGGAGTCCAGGAAGCTGGGCTCAGGTGGCCTGGCCTGAGCTCACCACCCTGGAACCAACCGGGCTTGAGGGTGCTGGGTTTGTCCCCCTCGGGCCTTTCCAGCCAACTGAAATCAAGCACCTTGTTTAAGATGGTTTAAACGTTGTTGATGGAGACTTTCATTCCTTCCCCTCACTTCTGGAGGCTCTGAAGCCTCTGTGCAGGGAGCATGTGAGCCCCACCTCCATGGAGCATCTCAGTGAATGAACTCCACGAACCGGGTGGAGCTCTGGGTTCCAAGAGGTGGAGAACCCCAAACCTCTTGCAGCATGTTCATTCCAAGCATTGGCTTTCCTCGAGCCTTCAGGCTTTTTGAGACAATCCTTGTGCAGTTCTGTCCCACTGAACTTCCAGCCCACCTGGGTCATAAGCTGCGTGTGCTTTCTTGGTCAGGGTTTTCTGTAGTGACCCAGAAGCTCCCTGGTGTAACCCCCTGCTCTCTCCATCATTAAGAGGAAGCACCATGTTTCTCTTACTCCACTAAGGTTTGAGCAGAGCAGCCCTATGAGACAGCTGGTCCCCGTGTAGCTGTTTGCTCTCCTTCATCCCTGTCATCCCGTCTGGAACTCTTGGCTCTGTGGGACATGCCCTGGTGAGCTGTCGGCTCTGGCTATTGCCAAAGTGCAGGTGGATTTGGCAAGAGAAAACCAGCATCTGTGTCGTGCCTGCCATCAAGCTCCTGTGAAGGCTCTGGAGGGGCGCAGCACGGGGCTGGCACAGAGAGCCCCGAGTGCCCAAACTGCGCTTTCAGACGTGTTTTGGTGAAGCTCAAGCGCCTGTAGGTGTTGGTGCGGAGCTGGCGCAGGCACGGCTGCCCTTGGGCTCTGCTCCTCCCTGCCTCTCACTCCCAGCTGTCCTGCTCCGGGGAGGACGAGGTAGAAGCCGCAGCTCAGGCGTTCTGGACCGTGTTGGCTTTTCCTTTCTGTTGATGTCTCCATTAGACCCGAGTCTGTTCTGGTGATGTTCCTATTCCTGCTCATTCTGTGTCCGCTCTGTGCGTGCACCGTGTAACGAATGTATGTAAGCAGCGGGACGCGGGGGGGCTGGCGGCCCCGGTGTGGTGCCAGCCCGTGGCTGTTGTCATGTTTCTCGCTTTGGGGGGTGAAGCCATGAGCTTTCCTGATGTTCTTGGTTGTTCTGAGGGGTTCCCCCCCGGGAGACCTTATTTCCCGAGGACTGTAACGGGTGCTCTGTCCTGCTCTGTGATAAAGCATAGTCTGTGCTGTGCCGGCTCTGCCTCCTTCCTCCCGCCGCGCCGCTCTGGGGCTCAAACAGACCGAGGCAGGAGCGGGAGGCGCGGCCCAGCTCGGCTCCGCCCCTCCGCTGCCCTAAGCCCCGGCCGCAGCTGGGCTCGGGGGCTGCGGAGCGGGCTGGGGGCTGGGCGGGGCTGTCGAGGACCCCGGGGCGGAGCCGGCGCCGCCGCCGCCGCCGCAGCAGGCGCTGCCGATGGGTTCTGGGTCGCGCAGCCCGGGCCGGCGGCACCGAGAGCGGGGCCGGGAGCGCTCCGGCAGCCGGGGGAAGCGGCGGCGGCGCAGCCGGAGCAGAGGCCGCCGACGGGAGCCAAGCTCGGGGTGAGCGGGGAGCGGGGCTGTGTCGGGGGGGCCCGCGGGGAGATCGGGCGGGGCGGGGGAGGCTCCGTGCAGCAGGGCCCGGCGCGGGAGGAAGGCCCGGTGTAGGCCGCGGCGGGGCCGGGGCTAGGCCGCGGCGGAGGGGGAGGCCCCGCAGGGCCCCGGGGCGGGCTCCGGTGCCCCCGGGCCGGTGAGCGCCCCGCAGAGCGTCGCCCGTGGCACAGAACGAGCCCGTTCGGGGCTAAAGGCGCGGCCGGTGCCGCCGAGCGAGCGCCCTGGAGCTCTCCCGGAGCTCTGGCGCGGCCGCAACGGGGAGGTGCGGTACCCGCTCCCCGGCGCAGAGCAGGAGCCGTGTCCCAAACAGCCCTTCCCTCCGCCGCAGCTCCGAGTCCGGCGATGAGAGGCAGAAATGGAAGCAGAAGAAGAGCAGAAGCCGGGACCAGCAGCACAGCAGCCGCAGGAGGCACCGCTCGCACTCGCGGGGCCGCTCCTCCGGGTCGAGCTCCGAGCGGGAGCGGGAGCAGAGGAGAGCCCGGAGCCGGGAGCGGAGGAAGAGGGACGGCTCCAAGTCTTCCGTGTCCTCTGTCAGCTCCCCCTCCCCGCCGCGCTGCCGGGGCCGGGAGGAGACGGGGCAGCAGCTGAGCCTGCAGGAGCGCCTGAGGCTGAAGGAGGAGAAGAAGAAGCAGGCTGCGCTCATGAAGGCCCTGGAGACGCCCGAGGAGAAGCGGGCTCGGCGGCTGGCCAAGAAGGAGGCCAAGGAGAGGAAGAAACGGGAGAAGATGGGATGGGGAGAGGAGTACATGGGTTACACCAACACTGATAATCCCTTTGGGGACAACAATCTGCTGGGCACCTTCATCTGGAGCAAGGTGAGCTTCTCGCTGCCTGTATGTTGCTGCTTAAGGGAGACCATGCTCCTATGGCTGCCAAAGAACAGGACGTAGGAGCTGTGGGTCTTTGAGGGAGCTTTGCTTGAGGGGGGAGCCTCTGTAACACGAAGAGCAGCCCTGTAAGAGTAAAGCGCTGCTCTAGGGCAGTAGACGGGCGTTTCTGACAAGCTTGGTGGGGGTTTACCTCCTTTCTTTGTCTTGAAGACTAAGCTGAGGGGTGCAGGGTGAGGAGGTGCGTCAGGGGACAGAAGAGGGATGTGGACCTACTGCGTGCTGCAGGCCGAGAGCTGAGCAATATTCATTGGTGTGTTAGTGCTCATGCTTCACTGAGGGGCTTCAGGAGTGGGATTTAAGGGACTGGGGGACCTTTGACAGGATCACAGCTCACTGGAGCAGTTGAAGCAGGTTGATGTGATGGGATTTGGTGGCTGGTCGGGGCTGGAGAAGTCACTGGGTTTCATGGCTGCCCTTGGCCGCTCCATTTCAGGCACTGGAAAAGAAAGGAATCAGCCACTTGGATGAGAAGGACCTGAAGGAGAGGAACAAGCGAATCCAGGAGGACAATCGCCTTGAGCTGCAGAAGGTGGGGTCAGATGCCCCTTCCCTCAAACCGTCCAACAGAGAGCCCTGTGGCTAAGCCGGTTCTCACCTGAAAAAGTGCTCTTGTTCTTCTCATTAGGGGTGCCCACAGGATGCAGGATTGGGGGGGGGGGGGTGCACAGTAGATTTCTGCTGTTCCCTGGTGAGAAAACACTCCTCTTGGGGTTCAGTCCAGCTCAGGAGGGGCTGAGGAGGATGAGTGCCAGGTCACAGCACCAAGGTGCGGGGTTGCATCCACAGCGGCCTCCCGTCTCCCTCTGCCCTGGCAGGTGAAGCAGCTGCGCCTGGAGCGAGAGCGGGAGAAGGCGATGCGGGAGCAGGAGCTGGAGATGCTGCAGCGGGAGAAGGAGGCCGAGCACTTCAAAACCTGGGAGGAGCAGGAGGACAACTTCCACCTGCAGCAGGCCAAGCTGCGGTAGATGTGCGGCTCCGGGGGGCAGGCCCAGCTGGGAGCAGGGAGTGGCAGGCACTGGTTGCTGTCTCTTTCCTCTAGGTCCAAGATCAGGATTCGGGATGGGAGAGCAAAGCCTATTGACCTTCTGGCCAAG